TACCTTACACAGACTGTGGGATTTTAAAAAAATGGTGATTGGACAATATTTTTTTTTCCTGGTAGTCAGGAGGATATATATATAGTTGAATAAACAATTTAGTGAGACTTGAGTAAAGCATACAAACCTAGGGGAAAGGACTAACAATGATCTGAGAGAAATAAATCCAAATGTATATGGAACCAACCACAAGAAGATAAAAAAGAGGAAAACCATGGATTATTGTTTGTATGACTTGCATTAGTCCAGCATATCACCCCATCACCCCAAAAACAAATATAAGACATTGATAATATGGTTGTAATGGATCAAGAATAATACATACTGTTGAAAGGCTCTGTGTGTTTATAAATTCATTTTTTCCTGTGGTGCCTTTTAGTTCTCCCAAAATTACTTCCTGTCAAAGTACGCTGGATAGGCGGTTCAGCTTGGGACAAGACTTGATCAGCTCATCCAGAGGTCATTGGGAGGCTGTCGCTCTTCTTCTGGCCTTTTTGTGGGTTACTCAGTTTGGAGACGTCTGTTGCCTCCAGGGCCTTTTATCACCTCCCCTGTTAAAGTCAGGCCCTGGAAGGGACAAGCATTACATTTTGGAAAATAAAAAAAAAACTTTCTGCTTTGGAGTTTTACTCTCAATAGGGTGACCCTGTATCCTCATCTGTCCTGATGGCCTTTATGTTAGTGCTTGTGATGCATGTAGTATTCTCCTGGTTCACATCTACAGTAAAAATGAAAAGGACTGTAGACAGTGAAGAGGATAAAAACTTGTCCTTATTTTTATACTGTTTTGTTTTTCTGTTTGAGAAAATGTAGATTGCTTTAGTGATTTGCAGTAAAACTAGATTCATACTAACCTGTTATGAATTCAAGTTTTTCAAATATTTAGACTCTGAGAAGCAACAATATACTGATATATTCATATCAGTAAATATATAGTGACAAGGATGTTGTAGCCTAATTTGACATAGCTGTGCCAGGTTGCCTCAGGGTCTGTTGGACATTTTCAAAAATTGTGGCACATGAGCATCACAACTTAAAGACAACATCCATACAGAATTTCCCACTATATAATAATTTAGGCAATTGCTAATTCTGGAATATTGTAGAAATAATAATACTAATGTTCTTTAATCTCATGCTGCACTATGCAGATGTTCTGTCTGCATTGATGAATTGTTTAGTCACATCAGCATCCTAAATTCTGGAAGTGGTTCCAAACAATAATAAGTCTGATTATTAATTAATCAGACTTATTATATCAGGCAAATTATTAATTAATCAGACTTATTTTCTGATTGATTAATAAACAATGCTGCTCTTAGGAACACTCAGAAGTTGTGCATAGTGCAGCGTTTCTCAAGAGGGGCAGTACCACCCCCGGAGGGCAGACCACCAGGACGCTCCGTCTTGCGTCTGGGTTTGCCTGGCTATTTTTCCGGCCAGCGAACCATTCCGCCACCCAGGGGTCGTTTTTCAGACCACTCAGATGACCCAGTTTTTATTAGCACGTAAATGCACCATTTACACACAAATCTGGGAGCTTCCCTGAAGCGTGAAATGAGTCTCAAAAATACTTGTACACTCGTAACCGGATCTGTGTGTAAATGCAGTTTTGTGTGTGTGTACCAGGTGATTTGTGTGTACTTTTTCAGCATTTATAGGCGTAGGAGAAGATTTATTTTATTTTTAAGGTTTACACATTCAGTATTATACATGCACAGATATTTTTACCCACACACAGATATTTTGAGACTATTTTCACTCCGTAGTGAAACAACTTACCGTTTCAGGAAAACCGTTTATCCATTCTCATGTGTGGATAAGCTAAGTAGCTTGAACATTCATGGAAAACTAGCTCTACACAGCAAAGAGAAAGATAGAGGATGTGAGCAGTGCATACAAGAGGATGATTGACAGTGCTGAAACCCTCCTGGTGGTGAAGGTCTCCTTTATCTCATATTAGAAATATCCTAAAAGTCAACAAAAAAGCTCATTTTTGTTTCCAAATAATTCTTTATATTTATATTTGTTGTGAAACTATCCTCATTGGGAGCAAGATTGGAACCAAAGTTTGTGTTCACAAACTTTAGGAATAAGGTGATTCTGTTTCTAAATTTCAAAATATATATATATATATATATATATATATTTTTTTAGTTACCAAGTGAATTTAGTTTGTTTAAAAAACATGAATGCACATCATGTGATATTTTATCTTTATTGTGAAATAAATCATTGACAGTTAATAAATTATACATTATTATCAGAGTAGTGAGATATGAAGAAAAATAGATTTTTTTTTACAATGAACAATATAATATTAAACGCAAGAAAAATACCTGAGTTTACACATTTGTACGACTGTACATATTGTTACTCATTATGGAACATTTGTATATTTTTGACGTCATATTGCAGTGATTTATTTACAGCAAGTGCCTCCATGTGTATTAATTTTCAGGCTTCATCCAAAATACTTAGGAACGCCTTACTCATACACTGGAATCGTGAACACATTGTGAATTTGATATTTTCTTTCCAAACTATATTTTCTACTAGCATTTAATCTCATAACATACTTTTTTGTGTTTTTCTCTGGCTTCACCAAGATTATGTAACATTTAGGCGCAAAAATACTTATTAATAAGCCAAATGCCGATGACAATATTGCAAATATTTCCACGGCTACAGTGAACTTTCCAGGAGAGCTGACGTACGCTGGGATAAAAGTGATCCAGACGGCGCAGAAAATCAGCATGCTGAACGTGATACATTTGGCTTCGTTAAAATTATCGGGCAGCTTTCTGGCTAGAAATGCAAGGATCAAACATATCACTGAAAGAATCCCGATGTATCCCAGTACTGCATAGAAAGCGACCTCTGACCCCGTGTTGCATTCCAGCACGATCTTTTTGCTGCTGTATTTAAAAACCCTGTCGGGAAACGGTGGATTTAGCTTCAGCCACAATATGCAGATAATTACTTGAACCAAAGTGCAGGAGCAAACGATAATTCTTTGCTGGATCGGACCGAACTGCCCTACTGCTGGTTTGTTGTTGGGGTGTACGACTTTGAACGCCGTCACAACGACGATGGTTTTGCCCAGAACGCAGGAGATGCAGAGCGCGAATGTCACACCGAAAGCGGTGTGGCGCAGCATGCAGGTCCAGACTGTGGGTCTGCCGATGAAGGTGAGAGGGCAGAGGAAGCACAGGAAGAGGGAAAACAGCAAGAAGCAGCTCAGCTCTGAGTTGCTGGCTTTTATCACAGGAGTTTCTCTGTAATGGATAAAAACGACCATCGTGAGCAGAGACAGGGAGGCGCCCAGCAAGGCCACGGCTGTGAGCGCCACGCCCATGGGCTCGTGATACGCCAGAAACTCGATGGTCTTTGGAATGCATCCGTCTTTTCTCTCATTGGACCAGTAGTCCTGTGGACAGGCTGTGCACTCTGTTGCACCTGTTAATGAAAAATAAATAAATAAATGAAAAGATTTGGTGACATTTTAAAGGCTTTTAAAATAAGTCAATATCATAGTGTTAATTCTTTTTCAGAAAGGAAATATATTACAGATAGCACAAAACACACAATACTGAGCTGCATTGATTGGCTTTAGCAGAAGATATAAACTCTCAAATCATGTCTGTCGACCTGTTGAGTTGGCGATTGATCCCTCTGCACATGGAACGCAGTCAAAACAACAGACTGGTTTCCCCTTGATCTGAGCCTTCCTGGTTCCTGCTGGACAAGCATTTGAGCACACCGACGCTGGAACCTGAAAAATATCATCGCATGGATTTTATTTATTTTTTTTTATGATATACGACAGTGAAAAGTATTCATATATTACCATCTGTCCTGTCCTCCACACTATTCTGTCTTCCTGGATGCTCAGTGTGAACTCTCCGTTCTTAGTGGATGTAAAGTGACCCAGGGTCACATGCTGAACCTGCCCGTTTCTGAGCTGCCAGTTAATGACGTCGTAGGAAGCAGGAGGGTTGCCGTTCTCGTCAAAAAACACATCGTCTCCAAAGCGATTCCTGAAGTTTACTCTTTGCAGGTGATAGGTAACCTTAGAAGAAGAAAGCGTGTCATGTTAAAACTTAAAATTATTTGCTAAAAACAAGGAGCACTGTTCAACTTTTCTTTTTTTTTCATCATTGCTCACCTCTCTGGGATGAATTTCAGATACATTCAAACAAGGCTTCACATTTTTTCCTCCTGCTGCTGGTCGGCAGAACACCAGCTGGTGAAGAGCATGTGCAATAGTATAAACAGCTTTGTACACGTTATAGGCCACTCTGAGCTGGGAGACATTGAAGAACACATCCTGGGTGTAATCCATCAACGTCTCGTTGCCTAAGCATATTTTAGCTGCACCAGTGTCCGATGCATTTGAAGATGGCTTACAGCCAACCATTATCTCCCAAAAGTCCTTCACAAACGGCTCACTTGGATTTCTGTAAGGGTTAATATTCATAAGAAATGGATTTAGGTTTGGGATGTCCATCTTCTGAACAACAAATCCCAAGGCTCCGCCGAAAGCTCGGTACATTTCAGGCGTGGAGGGCCTTGCCGCTGTTATCCACG